AAAAACTAAAGCCCCATTTTTTTCACTTAATTGTTTATAACTTTTGTAATTTTTATCGGCGCGTTTTCGGACCTTTCCTTAAACTTTCTAGGCAAAAATACGAATCGAATGACACCTTGGTCGTAATTTTTGGACAGGGCTTAAAAAATGTCACCAAAAAGAGCTAAATCGAGTACATGTGAACCAAACAAACAAAACAAAACAAGTTAATAGATGTATGTGTTGAATGCGGAAAAACGTATGAAAGCGGTTTAGAAAGGAAAAAATTATATCATATGATTGTGCAAGTAGATACAAAATAAACTGATATCCTTGAAACTGATATCCTTGAATATAATTTGAAAATTGAGAAGAGGTATTTATTGAAATATCACAAAAGCTTTTGATCCCCATAAAAACGTGAAATCGAATTACGATTTCGAAACGGAGACTCCTGATAAGTTCCAATGATGTGAGTTCCTTTACCAAAGTTCAATCGTCCCAGAGGAAGAACCCCAGAGAGCCAAGACCAAAAAAGCATGCGTAGAGTATCAAGAGTTCTTTTCACATGCCGCTTACGAGAAGCAATATGAAGGAAACGTTCGGTTTTGTGACAAAATTGTTCATGCCTTTTGCATCACGACAATGTACCTGCTTATTCGTCATTTTTTGGACAAAAACAACATCGTGCCTCAGCCATCGTATTCATAAGACTTGCTCCCCTGCGACTTTTTCCTGTTTCCAATACTGGAGAGACTCATGAAAGGACGGCGTTTTGCGACAATTGATGAGATAAAAACCCAATCGCTGAGAGATCGAGGAGATACCAAAAAGTGTAGATGGAGTAAAGACGAGTTGAATAAAATTTCCTGGTGAAAATATTGAATTGCCGCTATGTGCTTACATTATGCAAATTACAAGCTGTGTAGTTATAATGATGAAGATTTATATGAAAACAAAATGGTACATCTACCTCTTGAAGTAGCCCAAGTTGCAATGTTTTCGAAGAAAACGTCTCATTTTCTCAATCATGATTCAGCAGAAGACAATACGATCATTATGATATTTTAGTTAAGTCGCGAATGACGCGACGTGGGGGTAAAGAACTTCACTCATATATTGTTGAGTTCATTACCTAATAGATGTCGCTGTATGCTTCAAAACTCTTCCGATTTTCAACACTCGCACTACAGAAAACTACAAGTCATGTCAATATATTAACGATCTGGTGAATAAGTGTGATTATCGTCATTAGATGGATGCACACGGTTACTGAACCTGCTTACCATAATCATTATGCAAAAATATAAAGTTTGAATAATCGAAAACGGAAATCACTAACACCGTAAGTTATGAATATACAATACACAATCAATTCAAAAATATTGGGGTCGTATAATGGGGTACAGCAACCAGTTCAGAAACGAAATTTAACTCTTTTCATGACACTTTATTATATCATTATAATGTTATATGTCCACTTATAAAAGTTAGAATATCAAAGTAAAAAACGGATTTCGGTAGAGAATGGGTAAACGAAACAGTCAAAATATCGAGTAAAAACTTAAAAACTTCATTTCCGGCTCAAAAAACGGATCCAAAACTAAACGCAATATACAAAACAGTTAAAACAAATCACTCAAATTTGATCAGATATACGAAGAACCATTACTATACCAACAAAATCAATTCATCTTCCAACATAAACAAGACCACATGGAGTATTATTTCTACTCTGAACGGAAAATATACTACTCACACAAACATCTCCCTCAAAACAGGTGATGAAGTAATTAATAATCCACAATCTGTATCCGAAGCCTTCAATAATTTCTTTATTCAGGCGCCGTATGACACCATTAATAAAATAATCAATAAAAGTCACTCACCTTCTAAGAATATGATTAAAAATATGCCTAATAGTTTCTTCATCAGATAGTGACTGAACAGGAAATTATGGATACTATAAAGTACGAACTCCAAAATAAACACACTGTGGCACAGACGATATTTCTGGATTCCTAATTAAAAAAATCGCCGCCTCTATCGTCGAACCTCTCACTTATGTAATAAATGCCCTTCAAGAGGGCTTATTCTCATCGAGATTGAAGAATGTTCTTGTATCTCCAATTCTGAAAAAATATGATCCGCAAAAAATTGAAAAATTATCGTCCTATTACTAAAAATATGCCTAATAGTTTCTTCATCAGATACGTGACTGAACAGGAAATTATGGATACTATAAAGTACGAACTCCAAAATAAACACATTGTGGCACAGACGATATTTCTGGATTCCTAATTAAAAAAATCGCCGCCTCTATCGTCGAACCTCTCACTCATGTAATAAATGCCCTTCAAGAGGGCTTATTTCCATCGAGATTGAAGAATGCTCTTGTATCTCCAATTCTAAAAAAACATGATCCGCAAAAATTGAAAAATCATCGTTCTATTACTGTTCCCCCCATATTCTCCAAGCTTTTTGAATACACAATCTTGCACAACTTGTGAACTTTCTGAATATAAACAGTTCATTTCACCCAAACCAGCATGGTTTCCGTACTGGACATTCCACCGAGAGTGCAATTCATTGCCTTTATGTAAAAATTGTTAATGCCATCGAGCTAGAACACAATACATAAACAACTACTTGAATATAAACAGTTCACTTCATCCAAACCAGCATGGTTTCCGTACTGGACATTCCACCGAGAGTGCAATTCATTGCATTTATGTAAAAATTGTTAATGCCATCGAGCTAGGACACAATACTTAAACAACTACTTGATAAACTTTATCAAATTGGAATTCAAGGGAAATCCCCGATTGGTTCAGTTTTTCTCTCGAAGGAAGAACCCAGAGAGTAAAAATTAGCCACACTAGTGCAAATCGAAAACTCACATATTTCTCATCTCCACAAGAAAATAATATTGGTGTACCTCAAGGCTCTGTCTTGGCTCCTATACTTTTTATCATCTATATGAATGAACTCCCAATAGTTTTACGGTACTCTACTCCTCTCAAATAAATCGAAATTAGAACTCCAAAATGAAATATCTAACACCACTGATATCCTACACAGTTAGTTAAGTAAAAACTCGCTATATCTCAATCCTTCCAAAACAAACTACATGACATTCCATACCAGGCAAAACCTCAATTTACCTGCCTTAAACCTGAACTTATGCGGTATCTCTATCGAACCCTGTACCACTATCAAATTCTTGGGCATTTCTCTTGACAACGATCTTACTTTTAAAATACACTGCAACAGTCTCACCGGCTCACCAAACTCTAAATGCTATCAAATCAGAATGTTAAAAAATGTATTGAACACTGAAGTTCTATTTATTATTTTATTATGGTCAAGTTCAACCAGAATTAGTTATGCAATCAGTATCTGGGGTACATCTCCAGCTGCTGAAGATATATTCATTGAACAAAAACGAATAATTCGTTGCATAACAAATGCACCGAAGCTGCAGTCATGTCGAAATCTCTTCAAGAAACTCGGTATTCTTCCTTTTTACGGTCTCTATATTTTGGAAGTCGCAACATATATTCATAAAAAGAAAAACACGTTTCTCACAAGTACTGACTTTCATAGTTACAACACCAGGAGAAGAAACGAGCTCCGCCTACCAAAGTCACAAGTCAACGAACATGATTACATTGACTCATTGATCTTGTTCATGGAAGCACTGAACATTTTTCACAAATCACCTAGTCTATTTCATTGCATCTGATATCATCAAAATAAACAGATATGTCTGTTGGGTACTTTATGTCATCTCCAGTACATGGTTGAATCGACTTCTTCTTCGATTTCAAAAACCGTATGTGCTCTTCTACTTGTTGTTGGCAATTTCCAATATACAAAAAAGATTCTTGGGAATCCTTGATGGTGAATTTAGTCACATTGGATTTCCCAGAACTGTCCTTGGTGACTATTCTATTGGTAGGGACAAAATATCCATGGAGAGCCCAAAATACTGCAGCATAGCGACCATCTAACATCAATTAACAAAATATAAAGTTAGTATGGTGCTTGATGAATGGATCCATAAGCCATGCCGTGTGACACAGACCCATGCAGGGTCAGTCAACCTTATTTCCTCACAGAATCTCATATTCTTTTAACTATTTTTCTGGAATTTGGAAAACTGAGAATGCTTACTAAAAATGTCACAATCCTTGGGAAATAATGTTCCCAGTTTCTCAGCAAAGCATTATGTTCCTGATGAGGAAAGGCGACATTGAAGTCCATATCAATCTGAAAAGTATAGGTAGTCAATCCTATAGTTTTTATAGCCGAAAATATCAAGGTATTTGCATATACCAAACGATATCCAGAAGGTTACTTGTAAAAATTCCATTTCAGAAATATTTCTGTTGAATTTTGTGCATTCTTGATATCGCTCAACCGATACTGCGTGCATGCCTTCCAGATGGGGTCAAATTGATCTATTGTTACATTATCGTACTTCAAAGATGTCAAACAAGCCTCGACGTCTTCTTCAGGGCCTAAAAATGATATGAGATGTATTCTTTTACCGAATAATATTAGCCTTCCAGTTCTGTACCGTTTAACACAAACTCATGGTACACCCCACTTTTCTCCTTTGTATCTCTAGTTGTATTTATGAAATTTGGAACGTGGAATATGTTCTCTAGGCGTCAATTTTCTATTCATGTGTTTTTTGAAACTACTAATATTTTGAAAAACTTGACTACAATAATTCTCACAACATCTCTAATGACGGAATTTGTCTCCAAATAGTGTCTTCGTTTGAAATGTTTAATTAATAACGAAAAGGCACCGATATTTTGACTGCAGATAAACACTTCATGGTCTTACATAAATGAAAATGAAAATAAGTAATGATGAATAAAACAAAATGAGCATATCTAATACGTACCTTCAATAAACTGTAGATTCAAATACCTAGGTACTTATTCAACTTGTGTGCCGATCTCGTTTCTCTTGAAGGAAGTTATGTGAATATTTCTGATAACTGCACACTGTATCAATAGGTACCTACGAAATCACGAACTGCAATAGCACCTTCGCGTCTTGTTTTAGTTATTGAGATCTTTATGATGTCAATAATGTCCTTTTAGCCAATGAGATTATGGAATTTCAACGTAGGAATTTGCGCTGTAACGAACTTTGTGCATCGATGCTAGGGATGATCATTGTTTTATGACTGAATTGCTGAATACGTACGTGGAAACCATGTATTATTTCATCATTCTACGAATATTGTACATTAAACAAACGTAAGGGTTCATGATTTCGGGCATGCTTTGATGTATTTTCTTACGTATTTAATATTACTAACGAAGACCTTTCGCTGAAACAAAGTATACATATGGTTATTTATTTTATGTATCAGTTCATTGATTTATTGACCTGGGTTAACGATTCATGAATTCTTTCGTTCAATCGAAAAAACCATACATGGATTTAGGTTACTTATTTATTGTTTGAATACTAATGAACATTGAAATAATGTTCAGTATTCCTCAACTGCATTTTCGTGAGCTGAAGTAAATATTCCTTGAAACAGTGTAACAATAATCAAATTAATGAAATATTTTCATCTGAAGGGTGAATACGTTTATTGAATTATGGAAATTGTTCCTAGCTTTTCAATGAAAATGATTTTATTGATGATACGAATGCGTATATCGAGTGATGACTAACTATTCCTGATACTAAAGAATTTTTCATTGAATTGACGTAAAAAACAGTGATGAATGGGGTTTATTGATAATATGTATAGGAGTTTTTTCAGTGTATTTTGAATATTGTCGCAATTGCTAGTACTAACTGTTGTCACGTCTTCAAATATACTGTGCTGTCCGCTAGCATTTATTTATTTTATTTTAGTCACTTGACTTGCCCTATAGCTTCTTGTATGCTCATATTAAGGACCAATAAACGTATTATTATTATTATTATTAATACTTCGACCATACATATACTGAGATAGAACAATACAGAGAAGACTATCATGGCCTCTGTGCAAGGATGACACGCAAAATCGTGGAGTGTTCCACATTTTTGACGTGATCACTTTCGAATCGAGAATATCATTAAGGACAAATTCCGAGAATTCCACACGTATTCACTTCCGACGGACAAAACACATGCTTCTGCCCTCCGAAGCCTGAAATTTGCCCCAAAAGTTGAGGAAATTGAGGAAGGAATTGAAAAGCATTAGTTGGACATGGTGGCCGTGTACAGGCTGAGGACAGATGGTTATTACGGACAGTGATCTCACCTTGAGCTTCCTCAAACGAAACGTGAAACACGTTTCATATACAGAAATTACTTGGGAAGCAAGAAACAACAACAAAGCCTTGGTGCAGTGCCACCGGTGCCAGCGTTGGGGCCATGCGACAAATAATTGATAGAGATCACCCAAATGTTTGAAATGTGCAGAGGATCATCAAATGTACCAGTGACTTGCACGACAACCGTCCCCAATGTTAATACCTGTGAATTGCGATGTATTGGATATATTCCATGATCGCGCTTAGCCCATGGAA